TGCCATTGCTCCAGGGGTGTCAGCCGCCGGGAGAGTGGGGGGGACTCACAGTTGCCCGTCTCGCAGCAGCTGCAGATGTCCCGGGTGCCTTCCACAGGTGCCCAGCTGTAGCAGGGTGGGACCATCATCACCAGAGCTCCCTGGGCACCCACAGAACGTTTGTGCCCCCCCAAGTCTGGGTCCATGATGCACTCCCATGCCATGCCGGCAGAGCCGGGATGCTGGTGGTGACCTGCCCAGATGTGCCCCAGCTACTCACGTGTTTCTGGCTTTGTTGAAGGAGCAAGCCTTGTTCAGGGGGTCCGGGGCTTGGTCCGCTGGGGTCACCTTCAGGTGGCAGGTGATGTAGATCTGCAGGGAGGGCAAGGGCGAGAGGTGGGGACCCACATGGTGGGGGACACCAGCTTGGTTTGGGACTCGTGGGGACACACACACAGTCTTACCAGGTTCCTGGCATCCCCCGCAAACCTGAAAACGTCGATCCTGAAGCGCAGCACGTCCTCCCGGGGCCGGGGGGTGATGAAGGCAGAGCTGGTGTCATCCGACCTCCCATCAACCAGGCACCTGGGGTGGGATGGGGTGGGGGGATCAGCATCCCAGCAGGTCTGTCCCTCCCCCCAGTGCTACCACAGGTGGGTTCCTGGGGCTCACCCGTTGAAGTCGATGATGGCATAGTGGGGTGAGGAATCGGTGCCGGGGCTCAGGGCGGCCACACAACTGTCCACAAACAACCGCAGTGGCACGTGGCTCTCGGTGCCCACCTCTGCTTGGATGTTGAGGATGTCGCCCAGTTGGAAACCAGTGAAGGGTCTCTCGGCGCTCCAGTCCTCTGCAAGGCAGCACCGGGGTAATAAAGCAGGGGTGGGTCCGGCCGTCCCCAAGCTCCCATGGGACCAGAGCCAAGGCTCAGCCCAAAAGCAGGAGTGCTGGTGTTTGCCAAGGGGTGGGTTGGCTTCCCCAGTGGGGTGCTGAGTCCCTGAGCTTCCCCGTAGAGATGGAAAATCGCCATCCACAGATGGGGATGACTTCCTACCTACCGTTCATGAGGCGCAGGGAGAACACCAGCCTCTCCTCTGCTGACAGCGTGGAGCTGAAGGGAGCCCAGGTGGGCCGGATGGCGTTGCTGCTCACGTTCTCCCTCCTGGACAAGGACCACCGCGCATCAGGATACGGCCCCGTGCTGGTCCCCAGGGACCAGGGTAGTGGGTACCAAGGACGGGGAAACTTCACCTGGGGTAGTGGCACTCGATGGGGATGACGGCAGGGTTGCTGCGGATGATGACGGGGTTGCTGGCGGGGCTGGGGTCATAGTTGAGGAGCGTGCGGTAGATGAGGGAATCCGGCGTGACCTGGGCAGAAAAGCATTGAGAAGCCATCAGAGCCCACCCCACCTACCACCACCACCGAGTCATGTAGCTGTCCTTCCCTAGCTGGGAAATGCTGGAGAAATCCAAAGAAAGGAGGAAAAAAAGCAGGGAAAAGGAGATGGAGAAGGAGCCCCGCTCCGTTCTCCGCAAGTTAAACATCCTAATGGGCCAAAACACGAGCGAAATGGGTCTGGCGTGGGGGCTTTGTACGATCGGCATGTCTCCAGCTGAAAAGGCAAAGCAGCTTTGGGGAAAAAAAACCTTCGGTTTGGGAGAAATACCCATGCATCCTTCCCCTAGGGTGTTCCTCGATGGTGCTTTGCGTCCAGCACCCAGAACTCCCCCTGCATCACGAGGGATGCCCGGTCCACAGTCCCGCAGCCTGGAGCTGCTCTGGGGGAGGATGCCAGGCAGGATCCCAGGACTGGGGGAAGCATCACAGGGAGAAGTTCTTACCTGCACGATGCTGCCGCACTCATGGAGGCCGGCGGTGAAGGTGACGGTGTTGTGGGCATGGTTCAGCGAGGAATGCTTGCACGCTGCCGGCCCCAGTGTCAGGTCGGCCGCGTTGACCAGGCGGCCGGTGCCGAAGAGGTCCCTGTGCACCGTCACCACCAGCTGAGCTTCCTGGCACTGCACCATCACTGGCTGCTGGCTGGAGATGGCTCGAGATTGGGGGTCCTCCACCCAGGACCAGGCGTGGGGGTCTGCCCGTGCTCCCCGGCTCGCCGGGTCACCCCAAGAGAAATCCCAGGGTGGGTAGGCAGCCACCTCACCCGCCACCCAGCAGAGAAGAGTGAGGATCAAGCTGCTTTTGGGTCCCATCCCTCCCTCTTCCAGCAAACCCCGGTGCAGAGAGCCAGGGCTGCTCCTCACCCAGCCTTTATATCACCCCGGGAGCAGGAGCCATCCGCCCCTGGGCTCCCGTTTGGGGACCAATGGCACCCAAAGGCCAACCCTCGTGGGTGCGGGGAGAGGGGAGGCACAACCCAGTCATTTCCGGGGTGCCAGGACCCCTCGTTCCCGAGCTGCCCAAGGCGAAAGAAAACATCCTCGTCAGCC